TTCTTCTACTCATTTTAAATTACACATTTTTCAATAAAATAATATTTTTCATCATATTTTTCAATAAATAAATAATAATAGTTTTCCAATTAAATCTCTTTTAATACTAAATTACGAAACATTAATGTAATAACCCGTCAGATACATACTATATACCATAATCTACTCTATAAAAATTATCGTACGGTAAAATGCTTATTATTTCGTACTCTACTTTGCGAAAAAAAAAAAAAGCGATATTTATGAGATCAAATTTATTTATTTTTTTCGTTTTGCTCAGTATTTTGTATTTTTGGTGCATTCATAAACTATAAATTTCAACGATTGGCTTCATCAATTGATCTAGTCGCACATAGTTTTTCTAGTGTAAAATTAAACTATTGACCACATCGTTCGAGCGCCAAGCTAGCTGCCAACTAGCGAAATTGCGGCGATTTTTCTCCCCAATCCATATCTTGACCTCTTTAAGTTTAACACAAATTCGAACTCCCAATTAGGATTTCAAATAGAACTTCAATTAAAATTTACCAAATTGATTTTGAATAGAATTTTTCTTAACGTGCACTTTAATTAAAATTTCCAATTATATTCAACAATGAATTCAAGTTACACCCAAATTCTAACATATTTGATAATTATATTTGACAAATTAGTAACTTATAAGTAAATCAAGTATAATTAAGAATGGTTGCATACTATACAAACAAATACCCAATAAATTGAGAGATTTACTTAAAAGAGAGGATTTGTATATTATAATATTTGTCCAAGCCATATGCCCATAGGAGTTCATTAATAGCTCAAACTATGTTCATTGTGTAATGACTACAAGCACAATAATATGCCGTCAATTCCTTTCAGTTTCATTTTTGCAAAATTATCTTTGATGTTAACCAAAAGCTCTATCATGAGATTTACAATCTCGAACTGGGAATGCGCGAGAGATGAGCACGATCAAAACCTTTGAATTAACAGAAAAAAGTTAAGCGAATCGTTCTCGTAACCTTTTCGTTGCTTAAGTTTGACAATAAAATGGGTTATAGATCTTGAAGCATGACGTCCTAATCGTGTGTCAATAATGACTTTTAGTAGATCTTCTCATAGATGGTGCAATGATGCTATCAAAATCATACTTTAATATACTCGATCTCGAATTGGGAATTCACAAGAGATGAGCACGATCAGAACCTTCGAAGTACTTGCAAAAAGGTTAAGGGTTAGGGCGCCCGCATAACACTAGAATAACAAAATAGGATTGGACTTCTAATAATCTCAAAACTTCAATTGTGGTTGGGACGTGAAAATTATAATGGATTCGAACTCCATGTGCGAGGACCCATGGGTAGGTAACAGTTGAAAATGGGTCGGGGTACCCAAATAAAAATAAGTATCAATGACGACCTCGGGATGGTGATTGGATCAAGGCTACAAGGACACATTATTTCGTACTCTACTTCGTTAAATAATAATAATAATAATAAATAAATAATAATAGTTTTCCAATTAAATCTCTTTTAATACTAAATTACGAAACATTAATGTAATAATCCGTCAGATACATACCATATACCATAATCTACTCTATAAAAATTACTGTACGGTAAAATGCTTATTATTTCGTACTCTACTTTGCAAAAAAAAAAAAAAGCGATATTCACGAGATCAAATTTATTTATTTTTTTCATTTTGTTCACTATTTTGTATTTTTGGTGCATTCATAAACTATAAATTTCAACGATTGGCTTCATCAATTGATCTAGTCAGCACATAGTTTTTCTAGTGTAAAATTAAACTATATAAAAGGCTTGTATTGACTTCCAAAATTATAATACTAAAGATAATATTTATAGTCATATCTTGTGATTATTTATTTTATCCTAAAAAAATAGCAGAAAGTCATATCTTCACTCTTCCAATGATCTTATTTGAAATAATGATTAATAAATAATAATTAGCAATCAACCAATGAAAAAAGAACAATTCGTTGACCATTTATGCATGACATGTGTTCTTGCTTCAAATGAAGACAGAGAAAATGGTTAATTACATACATAGACCTTGAACTTAGGAGTTTTTGCCATTTTAATACCTTAACTTTTGACCATCTCGTGTTCTTTGATTCACAGATGATTTTTAAGTAGTTCATGTTTGTTCACTCTGTTGTACCTAAATCCAATGACCATTTATTTAGAACACATTTTTTTTATAAGAAAAATAATTTCAAACTAGGGATAGCTCCTGAAATTCACGTGATCATTTGAATTGACAAAAAAAGGAGCTCCTAGAAACTTCTTCAATCCCAAAACACGTCAAGTCATTGTTCACCGATAAGAGCTTTTGGGAATCATTAACATTTGTTATCCTTAGTGTACCTTGATTAATTGAGTAAGAGCCCTTCTACACCAAACTCTCGAACCACTACTAATATCTTTTGTTTCTGCAAACCTAGTGGCCCATATCACATTTTACCCCTTCCCCTTGTGTTAGAACCCAGCTTTTAAGCCAATTCATGGATATACCTATACAGCAAGTTGCAATTAGGGAGTTATAAAACTGGTCGTAAGAAGTGTAGTTGAATGCCATCAACTCCAACAGTGAATGTAAAAAAATATTTATACTTCACGAAAGATTGGTGATTAAAATGAATATTGACCAAAAGTTCAAGAACTACAATGCAATTCGATCCTCAAGAAACCAAAAACTAAGGTATAATGCTCCAAGTACAGGAGCTGACCTGCCACCCCTCACTGTGCCGAGGCCCCACACATGAATAAAAAAAAAAATTGTGGCCCCACCCCCAAATGTGTGTGGCCTGTAAGTCAGGCCCCAGTACCTGAATCACTGCCCAAAACTAAGTGCTTTCCTTGAAGTTTCACAACGTCACAAGATTTATTAATGCTATTACCTGGAAATTTCGCACATATTGCTAGGTAAACACAAGAAAGAAGCAAAACCATTGACTTACTATAGTTTAATACAAAAAGGGTATATACCCATAATATGCCTTGGTTGCTTCTTGGTGTCTCCGGTTCAAATTCCACTTAAATACCAACACGAATTATCCCCCACACCTCATTATCAAGCTTATTTTCTTTCTTTCCTTCTTGTGCTTGGCGGTATGCATCTTTCCTGTCTAAACCAGAAGTGAAATGAAATCTTGAAATGTTCTTACTATCCTAGTATCTTGAAAGTGTTCAATGATGTTTTTTGTTTGCACGAAATTTGAGATATATTCATTTTTGTTTTTGATCGATTTTCGGCTTTAATTAGACCCCAGTTTTGTGTCAAAACATTAGCATAAGTACGCATGAATCCCACACCCCAGAACACACCGTTCTTATAGAGATAAAAGCAAAGTTGTTTTAATTTATCTTCCATGACTTCGATTTTGTATTTTTAAAATGTAGCTTTTAGATTGTTATGCTTTTTGAACAGTGTGATTTACTGATATGATTTGATTTTGATAATAGAATTGAAGTCTACTGGGGCAGGATTAAGCAGGAAATTCCAGTATGCCTAGAGAACAATTGCAA